TGAGGAACGAGTGGACTCGACGAGTCGCATGAGTGCACTCGGCAAGTCAGGTCAAACTTGGACTGTTGACTCGAGTTGACTTTTGTTGACTTTAGGGTTTGGTCAACATGAATAATGGAGACCATGGAAGGGTAAAATGGTCTTTTACCCATTCCAAGAGTTAGAGAGAAAGAGAGAACAACCTTTGGTGTATTTGAGTATGAGTAGAGTATTAATTAGAGATGCTTATCCTATGTGTTAGGCGCATGCTAGTTCGAGATTTCCGAGTACGCAACTTTTACTTGCTAGCTTACGAGGTGAGTCTTCTCACTATACATACTTAGAGTGGTAATATGAGTTGTGTGTTATCGGAGGGCCTTACATGTTTATTTGAGTACTGTGATATTGTAACGATCGACTTTCGAGGTATTGATTAATTATTTCTTCTTAATTTATGGTTAGGCCAGGTATAGATAAAAAGGACTATTGGATTGGACTTAAGCATTTGGGTTGCCCATAAGACGTACGTTGGGCCTAGTCTGGGTGTACGCAGGGCGTAGTGATCTACATCGGATTCAGGGGACGCGCACACGTACGCGCAACATACGTGAGCAGATAGAAAATCCTAATTTTTAGGGTTTAAGTCACATAAATACCCCCATTATAGCCACACCCCTGGCTTCTTACCAGTCCCATCACCCTCAGAAAACCCTTATTGCGACCCATACTCCATTGTTGTGTGTGTTTGACCGTTGTAAACTCATTTTCGTGAAGGAAGGCTTTGAAGAAGAAAAGGAAAGGTTGGGGGAGAAGCCTTTGAGTGCCTTGAGCTCAAATATCTGGATTAAACTCATCATTTGGCATTTAGAGGAGGTATAAAGCTCTTAAATTTCTTCCTTAAAGTCTAGATCTAAGGTTTTGGACCTCTTTAGGTCCAAAGTTTGGATCTTGATCATGCAACTTCGAATTTGAGCTTAGGGTTGCCACCCTTGAGGCTCAATGAGTTACTTTATCTGTAAAGTTGCAAGATTTAAGGCTATTATAAGGCCATGCATGAAATCAAGCCACTTTTATAGAGTTAGTTATCATTACTCCATGTTTGGGCTCATTTGGTGGGTTGCAAGCCACAAAGTGATCAACTTTATGGATTAGAATGATGAAAGGGACTTGGATCTGCATTTGTAGCTTCTAGGACTAAGTATTAAGTGCTTAATGTGGAAAGGAGCTTAACAGGGTAGTACGCTGGGTGTACCAGCCAGTATGGGCAGTGTACAAGCCATGTAGCATGTACGCGCTGCGTACAGATGAGTACGCCCCGCGTACTCATTAGAATTGGGCCTTTGCATTTTGGACCTTGAATTGGGCCAATTGTTGGACTTGTCAGTTATTGGGCCTCAGTAAGTCCATCGGAAGTCAGATTTTGGACCAAGGGCATGTTTGGGCTTATGTAGGGCCCATATAAGGAGTTAGGCCCAATTTAGAAAATTGGGCCATTAGTGGGCTATTGGTGGACTTAGGTGGATTAGTTGGATTTGGGCCTTGGAGGGAGTCCAAAGTTAGAGCAGGGGTAATTTGGTCAATTAACCCTTAGTTTCATGCACATAAAACAATTAGTCCCAGAGTTATGAAATTGTAAGCACGATGAAATTGTTATATGTGCTTTGTATGGTATGTGGTAGTTTGGGGGAGCTCACTAAGTTTCGTGCTTACAGTTTCAGTTTTGGTTTCAGGTACTTCAGCTAGCAAAGGGAATGGCTTGAGTTGATGGCATGACACCCACCACAGTTTTATAAGCCTGGGAGCTTACTCTGATATTTTATATGAGATAGTTATATGTTGACAGATTTTATGAGATTTTGAGATACATGTTTGATGAATTTGTTTGATGATGATGATAGTATAGTTGTTAAATAACTTTAAAAACGAAATTTTTAGCTTGTGCTTTTGGGTTGTTTCAGATATCCTGCATTGTGTGATTTATGCCATGCATTATTATGAGTTACAGTGTTAGGACCGGATGGTCCACAGAGTTAGGACCGACGGGTCCACAGAGTTAAGACCGGAGGGTCCATCATAGTTGTGGGAGTGGAGGGTCCCACTGAGACACATTGACCGGAGTGTCCTATAGAGTTATAGCCTTGAGTGGCTAATGATTTGTATGTGATATTTTTGGGAACTCACTAAGCTTCGTGCTTACCGTGTTCTGTGTTATGTGTTTCAGGCACTTCTCAGGATCACGGGAAGGCGCCGAGTTGATTGTACACACATCAAATATTGAGTTATGATTGAGAGGATCCTGGAATTTTGATATATACAATTTTTGATTATGAAATTTGATGATTTGACATTTTGAAATTTTATTACCGTGATATGTGTGTGTGTGTATACATGAAAGCATTTTTTTATGTATTTCTATTATTTTTCTACCGTTTCTAGAATTTATAGGGTTCATGCATTTTGTATTGAACTATCCCCGCAAGTCTCTCTCTCTCTCTCTCTCTCTCTCTCTCTTTATATATATATATATATATATATACACACACACACACACACAATAGTTTTGGTTAGTTTATGATTTAATCTCAACTTTTATGTAACGCCCCTTTCCTGGTATGTATTCATTTTGATTAAATGTTTCTTTTGGAAGAGCTACTCGGCGAGTTGTAGCCCTAATGCGCCGAGTAGATGTTGAGTTGGATGCGGGCTTTAAGTGATCTACTCGGCGAGTCCACACCTGGACTCGGCGAGTAGGCTAGCTAGGAGGAAACCATAATCCTTAGGGTTTGCAACCTATTTAAACATCCTTATAGCCCCCATCTCAACCTCCATCACTCTCAGAGCATTCCTTATCGAACCCTAGCCTCCATTGGTAAGTTTGAGTGATTGTTGCCTTGTGAAGGGACTTTTGGTGCACATTGGAGCAAGTGGAAGAAGGGAGAGGTTGAAGAGGTCAAGGAAGGGGACTTAGATCCAGAATACATTCATTTGTGGCCATCCATTCTGGTAATAAAGCTTCCATCTTGATTATTGATCTATTAGATCTTGTTTGTCCCTAAATTGTTGCTTTTAAGCGTAAAAACCCCAAATCCTTTGTAGAGGAACCTTATGGTTGGGTTATACATCGGATCTGGACTCTCATTACCTTCTAGAAGTGTTAAGTTTCAGTCATATTCGTGATTAAGGTCCCTCTTGAGCTTAGAACCCCATTAAGGGCTTAGTTTAGACATTTGAAGCCCTAAAGCTATGCATGCACGTAAAGTTTGCAACTTTACGTGATAAGCATGCCCTAAAAGCCTAGATCTGTGGTTTGGAGCCGCTGCATGGCTCAAATCAAGTCTGTATGGAAAAAGGACTGAATGAACTCAGCGAGTAGAACGATGGACTCGGCGAGTCCTATGAAGATAGTCGTGGACTCGACGAGTTGGATGAACAACTCGGCGAGTCCGATGAAGATTGCCTTAGACTCAACGAGTTGTTCTTCAACTCGACGAGTCGGATGAACTTGGACTCAGTAGGTGTGCATCGAAGAAGAACGCGTCGAGTCTTCGCTAAGCTCGACGAGTAGAACGAGTATAAAACTAGAACATATGGAAGGGACTTGGCGAGTTGGCGAGCCAACTCGGCGAGTCCGGTCAAACAGGAAGTTGACTTTGACCAAGGGTAAAATAGTCATTTTACCCTAAGATTAGTTATAAGTATTTGACTTAGTGTTTATGGAAATTATAGTCGGGAGTTCCAGAGCAGCTGTAAGACAGTTTCAGAGTTAGCATCTCGACATTCAGCGTTACGAGGTGAGTTTCCTTCCAGTAGGAACGGGTCTAAGGCCACAATACCGGCCCGTTTAATTAGTAGTAGTTTCCGAACCTCAGTCTGATGCAGTAGTTAGAATGTTTGATGCATTCGTGGTTCAGACAGGGTTTATGTGTTATGTGTTCCGGGCTACGACCCGGTGCAGTATGGAGTTTATGTGTTCATGCTAGTTAATATGTTTATGCTATGCTATGTTATGCCCCGTTAGTTCCGGACTTCGGTCTGATGCAGTTAGTTCCGGACTTCGGTCCGATGCAGGGGACAAGGTCCCAGTCAGTTTCGGACTTCGGTCCGATGCAGTTAGTCCCGGACTTCGGTCCGATGCAGAGGGCAAGGCCCTGGTTAGTTCCGGACTTCGGTCCGATGCAGTGGGCAAGGCCCAGTATGTGTTATATGTTATTGTATGGTATGTGGTAGCTTGGGGGAGCTTACTAAGCTTTGTGCTTACAGTTTCAATTTTGGTTTCAGGTACTTCCGCAAGTAAATGGAAGAGCTCGGGTTGATGGTATCGCACACACCACAGCTTCAGTTTGTCCTGGGAGTTGTTTTAGCTTTTCATAGACGTGAATTGATACAATCTTGATACAGTTTTCTCGTGATAATTTGCTATGGTTTTGAGATATTGATGTACGAGTTTTATTTTATGATATTGATATGATGTTTTTAGTAATTATTAAACAAAAATTTTTAAGTCATATTTTGGGATGTTACATTTTATTTTTGAACAGAAAAGTCACAATTATTTTATATTTTGACCTAATAAGGTTTTTCAATAGAAAATGACATTATCATATAAAATTATATAATCGTAACTTTTCTGTTAAAAAAAATAAGTATTGAGATTAAATCGTCAACTAATTCAAAGTATTGAGATTTTTTCGAAGATTTCTTATATATATGGGCGTTTTGACGGGGTAAAGTGGGCAGCTGTAGATGACCCAATTTTTATATAATATTTAGCTATTAACTTTAATAATAATAATAATAATAATAATAATAATAATAATAAAATCATATTGCAAATGTTGTAATGCATGTAAATAAATATATACTCCTATAATTATATATGCTCATAATTTACCCGGCAATCGTTAAACTGTGACTCGCTGTAGGTGTATGTATAGTGTAGACAGTACACATTCAAATTATTTTATTCATTTCTCTCTCTCTCTCTCTCTCTCTCTCTCTCTCTCTCTCTCTCTCTCTCTCTCTCTCTCTCTCTCTCTCTCTCTCTCTCTCTCTCTCTCTCTCTCTCCTGATTGGTAGAAAGCAAAGACTGCTGCAGCACCTCCGCCGCATCATCGTCACCGGCCAGATCGATTGTTATACAAGCTACAGTATACGGTGTAGTCTTCTAATGGCATATCATCCTAACCATATCTCGCAAGATATGGCCCTACAACAACATTTCTCCGACACCGACAACAATTCCGTCCTCCGAACGATTCTTCCAGAACATCACCACCTTGCATCCGCCGCACAATCTTCCTCTTCTTCCCGTTCCGCCGGAAAAGACCACTGGCTCAATAACGCAATTCTCCGGCAACAAGGCAGATTCGGTGGCGGAACCGGCGACGGTAACAATAATATCTTCCTCAACCTGCAAACGAACCACAATAATTCAGATTCTGCAGCTACGACGTCATCTCAGCATCACCACCATCAACAGGCTGCTAACAATAACAACAATCAGTGGCTATCGAGATCGATATTGCAGAGGAACGTTAGTGATGTTAGAGGAGACGACGGAGTTGCGGAAGTTTCTACTGACTCAATTATCGCCGCCGCCGCCGTGATGTCTTCTCACAGTTCACCTGATCTGAACAATCATTCTAGAAACATCGCTGCAAGTCAGGTTTGAACTTTTCCACTCTGAAATTCAGATTTCCACAAGTTTTCGTATATCCTTCATTTTCAACTACTTCCGGTATCATTCAAAAATGAAGTATAGATTTAACTTTTAAGTTCATGTAGGTTTATTAATTCATAAATTATTAATTAAGTCTCTCGTTTTTCCCCATATTGAAAGATACGATCGAAATATTAGGTTTTCCCCTTATCAACCTCATTGTTTCACGTCATTAACTTGAATAGTAGTATTTGATTTGAAACAAATTTCTGACTTCCAAAATTATGCATATATAATAAGTTTGAAGTAATATTCTATAGGACTGTTTTGATTAAAAAAAAAAAAAAAAAAAATCATATGCATTTACTAAATTAAACGTACAAAAACAGGTGTTGGCATTTCAACTCATTATGATTTGTTTTTAAGTAATTAACCAAACTATTTTGTAGAATGAAAAGGAAACTATTTCATTTAACAAAAAATATATGATGCCAATCATTAATTCATAGTACTCATAATCGTATACCACAGTTCTTATCTCCATATTATTTCACCGAAAACCGATAACACAAGATTCATATATAAAGCCAAAGTTAAAAAAGTCATGTTGTTATTCGTAATATATATATATGTGTGTGTGTTTTCTTTCTTTAACTTTCCTGTGATAATGCCTTGATTTTTCTGATAAGAGGATCTAAATTTATTTATTTGGCCATTTTAAGTCATTAAAGGCTGTTGGTGACATCGATTTTAATGCATGGAGTTTTCTTCGTTTTTTATCGCTGAAAGTAACAATAAATATTAGATAATTAATGATGAATATTAATATTTTTCATTGATGAAATCATTTTAAACACAAATTCGATGACAGCCATCAAAATGATAGTGAACCTAAATCTATAATGTTTATTTTTTATAATAAAAAAAAATCATAAAAATCTAAACAAAGAGAAAATATAAATTTTTTATGAACCACAATAAGCACCTTCAGTTTATTTATCTATTGATAACTGATAAAGAATTTTTTTATTAGTTTTCAAAAAAAAAAAAAAAAAAAAACGCTACCTCTGTTCTCATTCTTATACGAGAGTCACATAATTAATGTCTATTTGCATTTTAAAACAGAAAATAGACAATTCTAGTCACAAAACTTTTCAGTAAAAGTAATAAGCAAATAAATTCTTATTTTGATTCTTTAAGCCTAAAATACAAACAATAATAGAATCTTATTATATTTTTAGCGTTGCTGTGTAACACTATTCTTTTTTTTTTTTTTTTTCGAATTAACTTAATTTCTTTCTTGATAATTTATACGTACTAAATTATTTGATTTGGTTAACTTTGAATTCTATATTATCTTTCTTGCAACTTTAGCATGTATAAGTTTGGTTTTTGGACTATGAATATATAACTTTTTATAGTATATATCTTGATAGTATAGCTATTATTAATCAGCATAACAATAAAATACTACATTGAACTTCATGAAAAGATTTTAATAATCACATTTATATCTAAATTATTGATAGACATATTTCATAACGAAAGTATATTGAGACAACAGTTCAATATAGCATCTGGTGTGTAAAAAGCAGAATATTTTCATATCTTCTACAAAATAAATTAAACATATTCATCAAAACTAAATGTGAAGTAAAGAAATATAATAGGCATTGCCATCTTATGTGGTTTCTAAAAGTTAAGTTATCATATGGCTTGAATTTGTTATAGAGAAAAAAAATTAAATGTGGTATCCAAGTAGTAGTCTTTGTAAGATTTTGCTAGTATCTCATATTTCGTATTGAGTTTTAGTAAAAATTATTAAATATAATAGACTCAACATGTTGAAATACTCTGAAAAAAGATTAAATTAATTCCTCGTTATTTTAACAAGGGTAATAAGAATTTAGTTATATATACCTGTAATGAGTACAAAACAATATTAATACAAATTAATCTAAACTTAATTGTACTATGATGTAATTGATTAGCTTGTATAAAAGATAAATTGAAAAAAAAACACACCTTAATATTTGTCAATAAAAGTAATCACATTTAGATTCGTTATTAGTAAAAATAGTCATATTTAAATAATTAAACAATCATGTTTTAACAAGTGTGTGTGTATATATATATATATATATATATATATATATATATATATATATATATATATATATATATATATATATATATATATATATATATAATTTGCACATACATGTGAAACATTAATGATTTCTTTTATAAACCTATCTAAAATGTGAGTTTTTACAACTAATCTCAAAACACAATCAGTTTTACAATGATGAACTTTACAAAGACTTGCAACAAATCTTAAAACACAATCCGTTTTACAATGATGAACTAAAAACAAAGGCTTATAATAAATCTTAAAACATAATATGTTAGTTGTTTCTATGATTACAAATGTGTTTTGTTTTATAATCTACTTCATAAAACCAATCATTGCTTTAAAATTGCAATTGTTAAATCATTTAAATTTTAACTTTGTCCTTGGCTAAAAATAGTCACGCGTGCGAAAAAAAATTCATATGAAGTAATCATGTTCTAAGATGCTTATATTCTCATAACTGTCAATAGTGTTTTTGATCGAACTATATATATTATCATATAAATAGTTATATAAAAAATTACATGATCAAAATAAGTTATATTTTAAAATTTTATATTATTATTTTATTATTTTTTAGAGTACGTAGTAGTGGAAATTAATCCTATTTATATATTGTGTGCTGTTAACAAAATATCACCATTTTTTATCCGATGAAGTTCATTTAAAGTTTCCATATCCGAACTAATTTATCTAGTTGGATATAAATAAATCATAAAGTATATAGTAATTATGTATAATGTATTGCAATTATTTAAGTCAAGGCCACTATCAAGACTTAACCCTACAATAAAACAAATGTTCAAATGTAAACAAATCAACATCGATCCTTTAATTAAACCAAACTACATAACTATTGATTAAATGTGAGAAAATGTAGAAAAAAAATAATAATAAACGGAAAAGATATTCTTACATAGATAAAACTAAATTAGGAGCATGAAAATAAGAATAAAAAATGTTATTGTTTAGCATTTATTGGTTTCACGTCTTTATGCGAAGAATCAATATGAGTAGAATTAATACATTATGTTGTTGCTTAACTTTTTTAAGTGAATGATGCCATAACACTTATCGTCCTTTATGACTTGTTAGTATCAAACCTAAGAAAGAAAAACATGTCACATGGAGTATGAAAGAAGAATGTAGGAGGATATGTCCAAAAACTACTTTGATTACCTTCATTTGGATGTGTGGTTGTTATAAACGAGGGGATGTCTTCTATTTATGGTGTGATACCATTTCTTGGAAGAATCTAGGATTCTACTTTTGTCCTCATTCTACAAAGTTCTTACATAGAGCATTATCTGAATAAACCCTTCACAAATTAAAGAGGTTTTGGGTTCAGATCTCATCCCTAAAGCCTCAAATCCTAGGGACCTCGTAGTGGATGGTATGGGAAACTCATGATAATCTATCGTTCATCCGTCCTAAGTTTTCAATGTAGAAATCCATGGCATCAATATTATATTATAACAATGGATTATCTTCGTCGTTAAATCGATCAATATTGTTTTCTTAGTTTTCTAGTGTTGGTAAAAGACTCGTTCTCTACAATTTCTTAGGTCATTGTAGAATATTTTGTCTACTCAAAATGCAATATTTTGTATGGTAGGTGACACTCTTCCCACTTATTCTTGTGAATCGTGATGCCTTTATGAACATCTTCCAGCGTTGAATTGCGTCAAGGAATTTTCCAATTTGGATCTTATTCAATCTTCCAAATCGATTCACTTAGTAGTAATCCTTCCATTTGATCAACCATTGAGTACTTGGCGGCTTACATATTTGTCTTGTGACTTTACTCGACATCACTTCTTCAACTTCCTTATTGAACAGTTTGATTATCCTTGGGAATGCTTGTATCGTGTCTTCCTCTCATCTAGTTAAAGTTTTCTCTTAAGGTGTCTTAAGTAACATCCGGTTATACATTCATATATTATTTTGACCATCCATATAGGCTGAAGACTTATAATATAATATATTTATATGGTTATTGTTAGTGATTAGGATTTACGCTCAAACCTTTTAGGGTTTAGATTAGGTTTCTTATGTATTTCTATTTTATTATGTTTAACCTCACTATTTATCAATAAAAAACAATAAGCTATATCCATGAAATACCTTCATATACATTTATTGTGACCAGATGGCGTCGATCATTTAGAAAACTCTGTGAGAGATCGTAGCGTTTCACCGTATTCTTAAAAGATAGCGAGGTTGCCTCATCAATTATACAACCTTTAGACATTTTAGAACGAGCTTATATATAATTATAAAAATATAACTATATTTATCAGGATTATCACTAATTATGTGTACATAGTAGCCCAAATCCATAACAAATCATGTGACTATAAGGATGAGTCATATTTAAAAAAATATTAATTTTATGTATTTCGGAAGAAAAACCTCAACAATCAAAATTGATCCTTCAAGGTCAATTTAGATATAGGAAAGAGGTAGAAACAATATATATATATATATATATATATATATATATATATATATATATATATATATATATATATATATATCATAAAAATTGAATCATAGATATAAAAATAGTCCACCTTCAATTTTAATGATCCAAAAATTTTTTTCCAAATTTTTTCTCTGATATAGTATTATGCTCAATTTATGATTTGTATTTTTTTTAGATTTTTTTTCAATTTTTTTAAAATGTCCTCACGAGTCCCCACTTTATAAATAATCCTTACCCGATCATGTTCATATATATATATATATATATATATATATATATATATATATATATATATATATATATATATATATATATATATTGATGATAGACAAAATATAAATTACAATACTTATGATGTAATTCTAACTTTGATTAAATTTAACCAGCATGACATCCATATGAATGAAACTTTTTTTCCTTAAAGGCTCATTGACATTCTAAAATGCTATACATCTATTGTCGATAAACATGAATTTGATGGATATTCGATGGCGTGACAACAAAGGTATTGCAACGTAGAAGACTCTGGAAACCATAGAAAAGACAGCGTTTTCTACTACCATCGTACAACAAAAATTAAAGAAGATGAGATTAATCAAATAAATAAAGAGAGTATTGATTTGAATTGTATTGTGTGGTTTCTAATATGTAGTTCCTAAAACATCTAACATCGACCTTTAGACAAGTAAGTGATGAAGTGTGTTTAGTTCTAGTGAAACTTTTTGGCACCACTCAAGGGCAGAACACGAATAATAAAACTGGGGTGTCAAAACCAAAACTTCATTAAATGTTTTTTGAATGATCACAAATTGTACATTTAATGAAGTTTTGGTTTTGACACCCCAGTTTTATTATTCGTGTTCTGCCCTTGAGTGGTGCCAAAAAGTTTCACTAGAACTAAACACACTTCATCACTTACTTGTCCAAAGGTCGATGTTAGATGTTTTAGGAACTACATATTAGAAACCACACAGCCCTTGTGGCCATGGAAGTTCGCCTGCAGTGATTCCAGGGCATGAGGCAAAGCTTTATGTTTGCAGCGGGGGATTAGTCGGTGCGCGAAAGCTGGCCCGGAAACCCTCGTTAGGGAAGTTCCCTTTCCAAAAAAAAAATGCCTAACCAGTAAAACAAAATCATGTAAGTATGACAAAATATATCAATCAATAAGTTCATAGTAAAAATGAGGTTATAGTTGTATGTATCTCCTTCCGTTCATGTTTATATGTATATACACATACATTTTTTTTTGAACGGGTATATACATATAGACACAATTATACATGTATATGATGTGTACATATATGGTTGTATAGACTTGCATAAGAGGAATTATAGTTCAAATTATGGATAAACCTATAAAATATATAAAAATATTAGGGTGACCTTTTCTGATCAGTTCCAAAACCCTCACTGGGCACTTTTATCAAAACACTTAGCATGTAAAATTTCAAGACCACATTTTCTAGTTAGACCCATAATATTAATCATAGATATAAAAGACCACTAGATCAGTTCCAAATGGAAAAAGTAAAGAAGAGCTTAGAGATAAAATTTTGAAACTTTATATGTTCATCAAAACTTATTTTCACAAAATAAACCTCATTGAGGATTTTTCACAAACACTTCATGTGCAACTCCACATGTTCATTTCCAGCAACATTAAATTGTGGTACAAAAGATATCAATGTATAATTTTTTTCTCAAGCAATAAAGAGATCAAATCAACATATTAAAAAAAAACATCTAATACATAACCACAATCGTATGAACTTAGAGTTTGCAAGGAAAAGTTAGAGAAAGAGAAAGAGATATAAAGAATACAATATGAAATCGGTGGTGGTTGAAAGGAAGAAGCGATCATGTTTCAGTCATTTCTCCATTTCATTGTTTGCATCTTTACACCTTGAGTGTTCATTAGAAATTATTCCCTAACAAATATGCCTCCCCACCTTTTTTTTCCTTGGGTAGTTGCCTTGATCACAACCATTCTGACATCCTTCCTCTGAAACATCTATGGCAAATAACATAGATGTGGTGAAAAACGGGGGGGGGGGGGGGGGGGGGGGGGGGGCGGGCATGGCCTCCCCTGGCCCCTTAAAGGATCCATCAACTTTCAGCATTAATATGTTCATGTTCAATACATGTTATCTCTAGAACACATTTCAAATTAAAATGAAAATGCTCCAAATATTATGTTGTATATGTGCAAAGTGCACAATATGTGTATACATGCCGTTACGAATTTCACAACACACGTCCATGCTCACACCACACACAGGCTTGTATGACACCATATCATTCATCTAAATGGGCAAAGGGAACACATCTCTTATAAACCTAACGTCTCGTTCCCGAGTTTAACAAAAGAAAATAAGAGAAGAGAAAAGAAGTCATGAGAGAAAAGAAGAGAAATGAAAGGAAAATAAAATTTTCTTTTATATTTCCGAGTTAGAGAGAAGTGGAAGGAAAATAAATCATTTTGTTCTTTCTTTCCAAATCCTCCCAAATCGGAAGGAAAGCTAGGAGGGAAAGTGATCCTCCTATTTCCCTCCACTTCCTTCCACGTACTTTATGAAACTTGGGAATATCAATTTCTTTTATTTTCTTCTTAATTTCCCCCATTTCATTTCTTTTTTCCCGTTAAGTTGAATTCGGGAACGGGGTGTAATAGTAGTTTTATTTTTCTACATATATGTAACATCCCTTGATGGAAAGTTACAATATATATGTGGGATGACGGGTGAACAATTTTTCCAACATTTCCCATTAAATTTCCAATAACCCCCACCATTTTCAAATTTTAGCTGATATTCCGATAAATGATGTTACATAGGTGGTATAAAGATTAAATCCTATTTGATTACGATTGTGCAATAAGAGATCAATTCCATGGTATCCTTTTTTATTAAAATCGGAAACCTAGTGACCTCTTTGGCCCACCCACATACACCACGTACCGTCTTTGCAATCTTAGTTGGCATGAATATGACCATGCTAAAATCTTGTTTCATGGCCACATAGAAGAGAAACGGATACTCTGTAATTTGAGGTAACACCAACTTTACACTATATATGCAATTAAAGTTCACATAACATCTTTGATGCTAAGATGTCTCAAAACTTTATTAAGAGCATAGACCCAACCTTTACTCAACAACGATGTACTATTTATACCTTACATCGGTTTATCGAATAATAATACCTTATATCAATCACGTAACTTGTTATTATCAATTAAAATGAGGAGATAAGATCAATAAATCTAACTCCAATTCCTATCACTAATTGCTTCCATTATGGTTTTAGACTCATGTGTCTTACTATAAAACAGTGTACTATTTATACTTTACACTAGCATATCATTTATAGCAAGGGGATCAACCATGTTCCCAAACGAGTTGATAAAATAAACACTAATGGTACAATTCTGAATTGTCTCACATAATTTTTTTGAATACTAATTTGTCTAATTTCCCCTTATATACAACATTGTACATTTTAGACAATATACCATCATTATTATAGTGCATGGAAATAAAGGGCATTTAAGCATCATACATGCGAATATCAACAAGAATTTATGTAACTTTAATTGGCTTTTCCGCACACATATAAGACAATAAAGTCGACTTTCATAGTCACGTGCGTTATACATTTTTGTTTTTTGTTCGACTAATAAATGGTTCCCCTCTAGTTAGAGTATAAATCCATCCACTAATCGCTTGTGCCATTTATCTTTTTGTGTCGCCGTATCCTTCTTAAACTCCTAGGTACGACGAGTAGCGAATCTAGACTAAAAACCATACAGTTAATTAATTTTTCTATAGAATATTTTCTATACACATTCAAATATTTTATTGGTAAGATAAATCCTAAATTTTTCGAAGATAGGTAAAAAAAAATTCTATAGAAATTTTAGATAAATTAAAAATATTAGGTGGATCATTTGACCCACCTTACTTATGCAAAGCATCGCCATGGAATATAATGTGTATTCAGTTTCATACACGTTTATGAGTTCCACTAAGATATTCCAACCAAATCACAATACTTGATTAGAATTCAGATTCTATATCTTTTGAAAACTTATCTTTGAAGAATTTCACATATGTAGTTTGTAGATTATACGATAATACATGGTTTGTTATCTAAGAGCCATTAAGCTTCTTTTTTTTTTTTTGGCATAACTAGCAAATATTATTTTGGTAGATTTCGTTCCTGACTAATAACTCTTACTTCTTGTTTTTGAGTTCTATTTAACAAGGGAAATGAAAGGATGTGGGGAAAAATTTTATAAATTTTTAGTTCTAGTATTTGTTTTTATTTATCAGCAATATTACTAGAAAATTGATAAGATTGCTTTTTCTTAGAGTTTGGTTTTTTCTTTTCTTTAAGTTCCATAAAACTCAGTGTCTTTTCTTTTAACCACTGATTTTTTTTTATCAAACCACTATAGTTTTATTTTTGTTAAAATCCTTTTTTTTTCAATTTTCCCCGATAGAACTTTTTTTCCTAGTAATGAATGGCAAAAGTTAATCGTAAGATTAACTTTCTAATTAAAGATGGTTTTTATATAAATTCAATTGTAATGGTTAATTCATTAAAAAAATCTTCAAAGTCGTAAAACAAACCAATTTTTAAACTTTAATGTTTTTATAAAACTTAAGATTTTATTTAGTGATTTTGTTTTAAACAAAAAAGATTTAAGTAGAAAAATTCTTTTGAAGGTTAAAACAGGATAAAATCCAAAATACGGAAACTATTCTCGAATCTGTTCTAAAATTTTTGTTAAAATTTTGATTAATAATATAATTTTTTAAAATTATACATAAATATGTTCTTTTATCAAGTAATTTTTTGTCAAAACAAAAGGTAAAAAAGTGTTCTGGACGTTTTTACCCTTTTGTGTTTTGGCTATGGATATATCCTTTTTCTTTCTCCCCACCTTTTCTTAACAAATCTATCAATAGTTTTATCATTTGTGCATCAATAATTGTTCCTTTCGCATCATTCCTTGTACATTAATGACAAACCCAAGCAGCCAAATAAAGTGTCATTCCTCTCAAAACCAAATCCGTCGGTTACGATTCTCATAATGATGAAACTATCACAGGTAGATAACAATGTCGGAGGAGGAGGAGGAGAGCTCGGAGAGAGCGAGGCAGGTGGCGGCGACGGCGGTGGTGGTGGTGGATCGTTAATGAATTGGCAAAATGCGAGACAAAAAGCAGAGGTACTGTCGCATCCGTTGTACGAACAGTTACTAGCGGCTCATGTGGCTTGTCTGCGCATCGCAACGCCGGTGGATCAGCTGCCGAGAATTGATGCACAACTTGCGCAGTCGCAGCAGGTGGTTTCGAAGTATTCGGCTCTTGGTGGCCATGGTAATCTTGTTCATGATGATAAGGAGCTTGATCAATTCATGGTACGTCTCTTCATTTCATTTTTTTTTTCTTAAAATATTATCTGTAATGATCCTTAAAATCAGTGAATCGTTTTAGTAACTTCTGCTTAATCTGACTCTGTATGTTGCAATGGATTTATCGGTTTAAGCTGTGAAGAAAAAGCATAGCCTTAGAGAAATTGTTAATTCTGATGTCGAATGCCATAATTGCTTCAAATTCCATTGAATCAGTAAACTGTTGGTGTATCAAAAACCAAAAGCAGTCTTATCATTTCCATAATGAGAGCCTTCTGATCTTTGATCTAGACATCTAGGACCACATATAATTGTGTGAAGATGTAGATGGGGTACCAATAATTGATCGTTGTCAACTTGTCATTGTAAATTTGTAATCATCACAGTTACGCTAGTTATAATATTGTTTTATATTCATTTTTCACAATTAATTAGATCTTAAAAAGGCACAAAACTAAAATTGATGTAACAATGATATTATGTACTCTTATATATTCACAATGCAGACACATTATGTTTTGTTGCTTTGTTCTTTCAAAGAACAATTACAGCAACATGTTCGAGTTCATGCAATGGAAGCAGTGATGGCCTGTTGGGAGATTGAACAGTCCCTACAAAGCTTAACAGGTGACGTATAAGGTTTTACTCTTCTTTCCCAAAATCACTTCAAACAAATGTTACAGTCTGGAATTGTTACAAAATTGCCCTCATTTATTCTTTTTGGTTGGAACAGGGGTATCCCCCGGAGAAGGCACAGGGGCAACAATGTCCGATGATGATGAAGATCAGGTGGATAGTGATGCCAATTTGTTTGATGGAAGTCTTGATGGACATGACACCATGGGATTCGGCCCTCTTGTCCCAACAGAGAGTGAGAGGTCACTGATGGAACGTGTTAGGCAAGAGCTAAAGCATGAACTCAAACAGGTGAGACAAATGAGCTCATACACCTATTTTAATTAATTGACTACGGTAACAAGGGCATTTCCGTCTTTTACACACACAATAAATCAATACCAATACTTGTCCCATCTTTTGGCATGAACTCAAACACATTATAATCTGTTTTGTCATGATGTACTAATTATCATTACATTAAATCCTTGATTTTTTTTTTTTTTTGTTGTTAGGGTTACAAGGAGAAGATTGTGGACATAAGGGAGGAAATATTACGCAAAAGGAGGGCAGGAAAACTGCCTGGTGATACTACCTCTGTTTTAAAAGCTTGGTGGCAATCACATGCCAAATGGCCATACCCTACTGTAATTTTTCAGCCTACAACTCTTTTAAGCTTCCTTTAAAATCAACAACGACTACTTTACTTTACTACTTTAAAAGCTTGATAGCTTTTGAATTACTTTATTGTGTAGGAAGAAGACAAAGCACGATTGGTTCAAGAAACAGGGCTACAGTTGAAGCAGATAAACAATTGGTTTATCAATCAGAGAAAACGAAACTGGCACAGTAATCCTTCCTCTTCTACAGTCTTGAAGAGCAAACGCAAAAGGTATTATTATATTTTAATGCAACAGCATCATCTATTTAATTTATGTAAAAGAATTATAGAAATTAGTTTCTTATGTACTTTAAAAAAAATAATAATAATAATAATAAAGGGGCACACACCAACCCTAATCGCAAAAAGAAGCAATGCAGGTGATCGTGATGGTGATCATATCATGTAAATCAAGCAAACCTGTACATGTAATCTACGAGCCCAACCCACACACAGATATGCAACAAATCTCAAACCAAAAAGATGAAAATGGTGAGATTTGCATTTTTAAAGTTATATATGATGATCCATTAATACTATATATATAGTTTTTAACTGTATTATTGTTGTGTTTTTGATAGCAGTTGTATATCATAATAATTATGTTAGTGATTCTTATAGTGTCTATGTGTGCCGATTCATAGGCACTCTTCGTATTGCGTATGATATTATGTTTTTTTATTGATTTTTAACTAATAATAATGAACTTTACAAATGGTTATGTGAAAAATTAAGCTTAGAAAATCTTTTTAACTAAACTGTCTTAAAGGTACCTTTTGGAAATATATATATATATATATATATATATATATATATATATATATATATATATATATATATATATATATATATATATATATATATATATATATATATAAATGCAAAAAGTCATATTACATAAAAACCAATAACTGTGGTTTAGTTATTATTCTGGTTTAACCAATGTTATTTTAGTTTCCACAATGAAAGTCACCAATGTTTTACAATGTTGATCGCCTTGATCTGCAATAGCAGGTTAAAGTAGTCACTACATAAAACTTTATCAAAGTTTAATGGTTTTATTAAAAATTTTAACATTAAATATTCAATTAAGGGCACTAAATTTTTGATAGAATTTCTATTGTAACTACTTTAACCTACAATTGAAAAAAAATGACAAACTTGATGATCTTCATTAACCTTAAATAATAATTAACCAACAAAAATAACCAAAGTATAGTAGTTTTTATGTATTTTGTCAAATAAATAAAAATCATAAATGATAAATCATTTGATGGAAGGATGATTAAAAAATGGTAGAATGTGTACAAGTCATTGTATTTTGGTATTCTTTATGATTTAAAACTTTGACATTTGTTTCCTATTTCAACCGATTTGACGTGCTAAAACGGGTTAAAGTGATTACTATATAAAATTTTGTCCATGGTCTTAAATTTAGATACTAAACTATCCACGAAAATCACTAAACTTTGATAATAGATCTATTCTAATTCATTGGAAGGAATTGAGAGAGATTGTGGGGTTGAACGGAGCTTCTTGGATTTGGGGGTGGTATTGATGGGAGATTCGTGATTTTACTTTACGTTATTCCTCCCCTATTAGTTTGGAAATATTTAACGCATATGTCTTTTTCAACCCCTAATAAAAAAATTTAATTAATTTACTTGACATTGATGATTGTTTTTTAATAAGAGTAACAAAAATTGTTCAATAAAATGGTAATCTCAATTGATCAATTGTGATTAGTAACTTTGTTAAAATCAACATTATTATTGAAATATAAGTTTATCATCATTAAAAGATTTGCAAACAATAAAATGTTATGTTTTATTGCTTGATGTTGGGTAAATTATAAAAATATGCAATACTTAGATAAAACTAAACAAATTGTATCTATAATTTACTAAAAGTCACAAAATCATTCTTTCAAAAAAAATTATGCGAATAGTCCCCATAGTTTCAAAATTCATATGGTTTTGCTCAACAAGAAACAATGGGGGAATTTTGGTGTTGAAACAAGACGGAATCGATGAGATCGAATTAGTAATCTTAGGTTCTTGTCAGGCCATTGCGCTTTTTTATGCGGAATTTATGAAACACACTGAGACTAGTAACTTTGTCAAAGCCAACAATCAAACAAAACATGCAAGCTATTTAATGTGATATGACAGTGTAACATCCCAAAATTCATGATAATTTTTTTTGTTTTTAAAACCTTTTAATAACCCATACTTCATACAAAACATTGTTTCTAAAAAGTCATAGCCATAAATCAGAGAATCCCAAAATCATCTATCAATAAAATACCAAGGATGATGTGTACGATCACACATTCGTCTTGCCCTAATCATCTGATGTACCTGAAACCATGAAACCAAATTGTGAGTCAAAGCTTAGTGAGTTCCCCCAAAATACTCAACACAAAATACAATAACAATTACAATAAATGCATATAGGGTGTGTTGGCCCAGAGCCCCAACCAACCATCTGAGTTTGTTGACACATAGTCTCAACTTAACCATCCGGGTTTGTTGGTCCACCGCACGAAGCAATATCTCAACCCAACCACCAATATGTCGACATATGCAACAGATAAACAATAATCAACAAGTGCAGACAATCATATAGATCTACCAATATAACAGGTAACTACAGCATAACAACATCCTATATACTAGGATACATAACCTAGTGGGCTGACATTGGTGCCTTCGACCCACGAGTACAATGAGAAGGACTTACCTGAACCACTTGACAGAAGCCCAACAACAACCTCAACAACAACACAACCAATCCAAGCTTCCCAAAACCAAATCAAGGCCATCCCTTAGTCAAATACTCAATTCTACCCATGTTTGACCAAATGTCAAAGTGGTCAAAAAGTCAACGGTCAAAGCTAATGTCAAAATTGTCAACAACAACTCTCCACATCGTGGCCTTCCTTGGCCACGTCGTGGGATGCTAAAATAATCATTGACGCTCCAGTCTTCACGTCATGGTAGCCTAAGGCCACTTCGTGGGGATCGGTCTGAACCGCTCAAACGAGCTTAATCCATTTTCTTTCGATTTCAATAGCTCCAAAGCTCATATATGATCCTTTCCAAGGTCTTAATGGATAAAGTTTATAACTTTATCCATTAGGAAGGTCCAAACCACCAAAATGTGGACTTTAAGTCTCAAAGGGACCCAAAATGCATCTTTCTTAACTTAATCCATTAAGTCCAAGTCTCTAACCTTCAGATCTGGATCAACATGTGTTTAGATGGATAAAGTTTCCAACTTTATTCAGAACAAAGTCACTAACTTTCAAGATCTAAATTTTAATACACCAAAATGACCTAAAGGACCAAGATAACTTGCATGGCTAGAAAGGAAGGAAAAAGATCATAACTTTCTTAGTCCATGAGGTCCAAAAAGCATTTTAAATTGATTAAAAGATGTTGGAGTCCACTCAACTTCAAGATCAGCCATAAAATGGACCAAAAGTGCCAAAACCCCCAAATGACAAGACCTAAAGAACTAGATAGTAAGATTGGAACTTTATATTTACAATAGTCTAGAAATATAGTGTCTTTGATGGATCCAAACTTGAAGCATCATTCATTGCAACCAAAAGAACCTTATTGATCTTTAAACTTCATCAAAATAACACAAAAAAGCATCCAAATGAGGAGAAAGGAGAGAGGAGAAGCTCAAATCTTGAAGATGGAGGTTAGGGTTTCTCCCAAGGGGTCCTAGAGGTGGTGGAGGCTGCTAAAATGCCCAAAAATACAGAACCTTATGCTTAAATACATTGAAAACCCTAAAATCATGGGCTTGGGCTTGACAAACTGCCATGCCGTGGACTCTGATCCCCACACTGTGGTGACGGTTTTCACCTAAATCCACCTCAACTTCTAACAACCATAACTTCTTCGTTTCAACTCAGTTTTTGATGATCTTTATATTCACGAAAAGGTATTAATGAGCCCCACACTTCTATCAAGTTAATTTTGGCTTAATATATGTCAAAGAGGTATTCTTCTAACTTGTTTTTATGTTGTAATTCTCAAAAATTATATGCTAGTTAGGGTTTATGCTTTGGATATTCAGTATTGCATGTATAACTTGAGAAAACCTAGATCCAAAGCATTAGGGTTGCATGTGCACCATAAGATTTGTTGTGGTGCTCAAAACCCATTAGTGGTATCAGAGCTTAGGGTGTTTTCTGTTGTATTGATGCATTGGTTGAATGTTTAAAGTTGAAGCAAATCAAAATATGCAATTTGTCTGATGAACTTGATGAGTCCATTATGGGACTCGACGAGTTGGGGCTGCTCGACGAGTCCATTGCCTGACTCGACGAGTCGGCTCCTCTGTTGGTAGATTTTTCGGGACTTTTGAGACAACCGTCAAATTTCGATCAAGTCAAAGTCAACTAAAGTCAGCAAGTCAAACCGTTTGACTCAATTTGGCCATGAGTACTAAAATTCACACTATAAAACTTCTACATAACTTCTATTCTAATGTGAAATCATAAAGCAAAAAGTGCGAACATCTAGATCTCCTTAACCTAAAACGGTAGTACGTGGCGAGCCAAACCGATAAAACAATGTTGCATACTCATCGGGAGTGAGTAAGATCCTTAAACAAGGCTTAACAGAGTTTACAAACCATGCATTGCGATGCCGGACACTCACAACTATCCCACATGGAACCTCTCTCAATCGTTTTCACTCTATCTCTCTCTATGTCAAATCTCTCCCAAATCCCTCTAAGTATGTGAAATCTCTCTCAAATATCTCTTTGTATGAGAAATCTCTCCAAGAATGTCAAATCTCTTCCAAATCCCTCTAAGTATGTGAAATCTCTCTCAAATATCTCTTTGTATGAGAAATCTCTCCAAGAATGTCAAATCTCTTCCAAATCCCTCTAAGTATGTGAAATCTCTCTCAAATATCTCTTTGTATGAGAAATCTCTCCAAGAATGTCAAATCTCTTCCAAATCTCTCCAAGTATGTGAAATCTCTCTCAAATATCTCTCTGTATGAGAAATCTCTCCAAGAATGTCAAATCTCTCCCAAATCTCTCCAAGTATGTGAAATCTCTCTCAAATATCTCTCTGTATGAGAAATCTCTCCAAGAATGTCAAATCTCTCCAAGTATGTGAAAACTCTCGCAAATATCTTTTTGTATGAGAAATCTCTCCAAGAATGTCAAATCTCTCCCAAATCTCTCCAAGTGTGAGAAATCTCTCCCAAATCTCTCTCAAAAGTTTCCCGTAACTTTTTGGAATCATTCGGGTCATTCCGACCCTTAACCGGGTCAAAAACGGCTCAAAACGGGGCGAAAACGAGAAAAATAGGCTTTAGGAACCGAAACCAAGAAGAGAGGCTTCTTAGGCGAGGACCGAGCCTCTGTTGGCTGTGGCACGCGAGGACCGAGCCTCTGTTGGCTAAGACACGCGAGGACCGAGCCTCTGTTGGCTAATGCACGCGAGGACCGAGCCTCGGTCTCTGTCGCTTCTCCACTTTCTGTCTCTACCCGCCTCTCGGTCTCTACTCCGCCTCTCTGTCTCTTCTCTTCTCTCGGTCTCTGCTCCTTCTCTCCTCTCTGTCTCTTCGCGCCCCTCTGTTCTCTCCTCCCCCCTCTCGGTTCCTTCCCTCTCTCTTCTTCCCTCTCGGTTTCTGCTTCCCTCTCTCTCGGTTCAGCATCAGAAGACCGAGCCTCGGCCAGAATTCGGAAATTTGTCACTTTTAGCCCATTTTTGATATTTTTAACATTTTAAGCCCGTT